AAACTGTAGTATCCCAATCATCCCTGTAAACTGGTTTGTATTTTAATTCTTGGAATATGTGTTCTTATTATCTTTAGTGATGAACAAAAGTTTAGAAGTTCTTCTTTCTTGTTTTTTTCTTTTTAAAGATAGGATTTAAGCTTCTCTAGTTTGTTTAAGTTATCTTTCAAATAATTATACTCCAACATTTATTTTAATAATTGCCTATCGTTTGACCTAGATATATATACGTTAACTTGTAGTATTTTTAAAGCTAAAGTAATGTGTTTTTTATCACAGCCGTAGTCGGTACTTTTTTCACGAAACGATGATTTATCTCTATGGTTTATAATTCAATAATTCTATATGTTGCATCATTGCTTCTTCTTAGTTAAATAACCACTGGATAGCTGTTTTATTCTAGTATGGGACTACTCATCAGTGCCCATCGACAATCCCGATGGGGATGGAACTCAGAACGTTTATATCACACCGTTATCATTCAACCTTTAAAATATTGCGTCGACATCCGATGATTTACATTCCCAAATTTAATTAAATTGTGATTTTGTGTAACCATATTTCAAATGCATCATTTGTGGTTAACTGTCTCATCTCTGACGTGATTGAACTTCACCGGTCATGGTTTCCCACTAGAACTCTGTGACTTATCCCCTTAAAATGTTACTAGTTAGCACATGATGATTGTTAGTATGTGGAATTCGCAGAGGTCGCTGGATTTTATGGTTTACATTACGGAGTACCATTGGTTGTTTAGTCATTGTTCATTTGGGTTAACTTTCATAGGGTAAATCAATTTTAGCTAGACCATCATTAAAACTTGAAAGCACTAAACGGTCGTTCTGTCCTACGATAACAGTCTTAAGCAGTAGGTATCTACTATTCCACATCTAGGAATCGAGCCTAGGACCTTCACTTTCGTGGGCGAGCACTTAACCTCTAAACCACTAGACCGACATCCAACGGTCATGCTGTCAATCAGTTCTCGATATTGTCCAACTCTCGTTCAGTACTCGGATAACTGTCTTACACCCGATTTAGTTAAGCCATCTGTCATTGGTTAATTTAATTCCGCTGTTATAAAATACCTTTCATCAGAACCTTTCAATTTCGTTATTGTTAGAGAGTATTTATACTACGTTTTTACTACATCCTAATAATTTTTTAAACTGAATTATTTATATTTGTCTGTTGTATGGTAAAGTTTTAACTTTCGTATAAAGATATTTGCGAGTGATAAAACAACACTTCAGAAGGAATTATTTCAACAGTTGAATTGCCTTATTGAATACCAACAGTATATCTGCTTTTTTTCTCAATTAAGTTTCATAATTTTGCAGTGTGCATGCAATCTGTTCTTCTATACTTAGATCTAATTCAAAGAACTATATACATTTTAAAAAGTATAAAACTTATGATAATTTCGGAATGGGTAAAAATATTGGAAATGTTGTTGAATGCAAATTTCTATAATGTATATCACTTCTCTATAGATTTGAGACTATTTTTTTTTACAAATCTCTATTGAATGAACTGTATGCAATTGTTTATTACAAAGATTAACGCTGAATGTATATTTGAATATGACCTACAATTACTTCGATATATTTAGCTTTATTGTCATTAAACGTGTATGGATTTAATGATGAGACTATAATTTATAGACAACCTTTGAGCGACGTTAAAATGGCCTTGAGAATGTCCACTTATTCACTAGGGCTAAATGAGAGTTATAAACCTATGTGAAGAATAAGGATTATGATTTACAGTTGATGGTTAAGGCTAGGAATTAGGTTTAAAGTTTACATCACGAACTGACATCAGCTAAAATGTCAAGACGCTCTTTAACCAAATGGATGAATGGATCTCGCGCCAAAATACAATACATGTTATCCTAAATCTGATTGGTTCGTCCATAAATTATAGTTTCGCCAAAAAGCAATCAGAATAATTTTGTTTTTTGATATCTTAATGAGTATAGATCTGAAAAATGTGGAAGAAAACTCTTTGATAATAATAATAATAAATTATCTCAATAGTTTTTTGTGGTAAATTGTTAGGTATTTTCAAATTAAATTCATAATTTGTTCTTCTAAAAGATTGGATTGAACTTTTGATTGGTGTATCTAAATCAGTGTCGAAATGTATACCATTGAACTTCACATACAGAAACTGAACATTTATTGTGCTTGAACAGTAAATGTTAAAGACATTTTTATATCAGATTGATTGTAGCTAACAATGTCATTCAGAATGCGTATTCCATCTTATTTACGTGGATGTATTCTCATCTCAGTATTGATATTTAAATTAAGACTGGAGCCTAGAACAAAACTTGAGTGTTTAGTTTAGTCAAATAATGTATTAAAATTGTTGGTCTGACCTATATCGACAGGTAAAGATTTCTTGGTTGAGGTCACAAGTATATTCATAACCAATGTTTGACTACTTTCTGTAATCTGATTTGAAATCAGTTACAGTAGTTTAGTCATATCCATTATCTGCCTTTCTTTCAACTGAAGTATAATTTCTAACATTTCATTCTTTGATTTCAGTTTTTTCTTATGTAATCCATTTCACATGTTCAAACTTGTATTAAAATTGAGATGTAGCCATCCTGTTGTACATTTTCTCTCTCACTATGATGCTGAACGAATTGTTTCAACTTAAATTATTACACATTCTTATAATGTCCTACCGTTAGTGATGAATGGTAAGTTTACGGTTATTGGTGACCTTTATTCAGAGTAAGTAAAGTTCCACAAAATCATCCATTGTAATCGTAAAATTTATGATTATTTCTCATAATCATTACCATCAGTTACTACCAACAATATTATTCACTGTGATCACTGAGGAATTCTTTTGTAAACGAGAACTATATATATATATATATATATATATATATATATATATATATTTCAAAGATGGCCTAGTTGATTATTTTTCAAATACCTAGGTTTTCCTTTGATCGAAATTTGACCAACTAAATTTAGAATTTTTAGGAATAATTTTCTCTCTAAAAAGCTTCTCTTATCTAGATCAAGTTCACATGTTTTCGTTTGTTGCGTGATTAATTCTACTTGGTCTTCTTTCACAATTTATCATATTTATTTTTTTGTTCTTTCCTTTTTGCATTTCCTCTGTTCGTTGTTTTTTATCTTTTGAAAATCTGAACCTATATCTTACCGTTTTTACTAAAAAATTTATATATTGCTAATAGTTGTTATTGTATTACTGGTTTGTAATTTATGCTGTGATAAACGGTATATGTTCTCACATTATTGGTCTTCTGATACATACCCTTTTCTTCTTTATGAGAACAAAGCTAGTCGGAGAGCTGGATAAAATTCATGATTTATTACCTAGACTTTATTGATAACTATGTAGTCATAGAGTTCCATTCATGTAAGTAATATCCGTATAGATTAAATTCTGAAGTATTAGTCTTAGATAACTAAATATGAGAAAGTATTAAAAGTACCTGAATTACTCACTTGTTGTAAATAATCTGTACTGTATCACTATCAGTTAGGATATGAGCTATTCCGTTGTTGATATCCAGCACTGAATGTTGGTCAGTATTTGTTGGCATATGTATAGTCTGTTTGCGTTGTCTCATTAAAGCTATTTGTTATATATGCCAACAAAAACTCATAAAAATTCAGTTATGGTTATCAACGGTTGAATAACCCAAACCCTTATTCATAATTACATAGACGTCATATTTGTTGAATAAGTTACTGGCTGTTTGGACTCAATAGGTCAGCAGATATCTCGTCGGCGTTCAGAGCTGAAGGTATTCATTTCGAGTTCTAATGTTGGCATTAACAATGGGAGTCATTTATATCAAGTTGACACTTCCCTAATAGAACAAAATATGCCTCCTAGATTCTACTGATAGCCATAATCAATCTATTCTAGGTCAGTGCTTTTTTGTTCTTGTTGATGATAATTTCCTATCGATCTATTCGTATACCTTTATCTATAAGTAAGTTATGGTTTAGGATTGTTGTCATTTATTTCCTTATCTATTATATGTAAATCAAACGTAGTTGCATGTTACTATGTCTTAAAATCAGATCACATAAATTAATTGATCAGATTTGACTAAAACTGAAATCAGAATTAGCGAGTGAAACTAAATATCGTCTAATGATTAAATATTCTTATGCATATTTTAATTTTCTAACGGTTCGGTCTGAAACCGATGTATATTTTAGACTACATTACGAAATAAAAACAGGAAATTATTAGTTCAGCGAAATAAATTTCATGCTCAAATCTATACAATCGCAATTGTGAAGTATTTACTCAATAATCGATAATATGTTTGCTAATAACATTTTACTGAACATAATACAAAAAAAAATCAGAAACCAAATGTTATTTTATACTATTTGGAATGATTTGGATAATGCGATTGCGTTTGATGCAAACGGTGCTAGGTTTGATTCCCGAAGTTTAAGGTATGTAGTAATAGATTATTGTGTTTAGGTGTTAAAGGTCAATAGAGAAGAAAATGGGGAGAGTTAGTGACTTTGGTGAACTAGAGTTTTATTACAGTAGTAGACTAGATTTTTCGTAGATACAATCATGGGTTTTCTAAAAGGTTTAGTAGTGCTTAAAATACAACTCTTCTCTGCACCAATCTTCCTCGTGGATATGTTTTGATTTATACACGGTGAAATATATAATTCTGAATATTGAAATAATCTTTCTAGATCTCTGTGAGTTTCAACTATTCATTTGTTGATAGTTCTTTTTTGATCTCTTTCATACGATTCGAAAATTTACCACTCATTACTGGACAAAATCTAAATTTTACAAAATGTAATAAAGAAAATTTTTAAATGTTTGCGTATTCTATTAAATTAATTAACTATTGACGAGTTTAATGTCTTTTGATTTGTTTACTTCAGTCTTAAAATCACCAGTAAATAGAAACCATTAATTCAGCTTATTTCTTCTCTCTTTTGTTTTATTTTATTCTAAATCAGGTTAGCAATGGTGGCTTAATTACATCGGATGATTTATTACAAAATAATGTAATCAGTCAACCACTTAGACCTGCATCACAATTAAATTATCACTTACCTGTTGCTGCTCCTACTGGCGCTGGCGCTCCTCCACCACCGCCATCTATTAACCCAAATACAGTGAACAACGTACCACCCCCTTCAACAATACCAGCACAAGAATTGATGAATAATACTAATATGTACATGAGAAATAATTATCGCACTAATCTACCAATTTGTACCACCGGTATTGGCTATCCACCTGGGTAGGTGATTAACATTTTAATGTTGTTGGGTTTTTTTTAATTCTTCAGTATTTTTTTGTTAATTTTTTAAAGAAACATGCCGTTCTACTGTTTCACTAAAATCAGTATTGTCTACTTTTAGTGACAGTTTCTTTCATTAACTTGTTTAGTAAACTAGCATGTGTTATTCTTCCATGATTCTGTAATCAATATCAGTATTTACGCCGTGCGTTAAAGATCTTGTGGTTTAGTGATTAAAGCACTTTACTTCCAATATTAGCCAATCAGCAAACAGTCAGTATAGAGTAAAAATATATTATACGAAACCAAGGAAATAAAGTGGATACACTTCTTATACGTGTTTCAAAAACTTGTCAAGGTTAGAAAGAGGTTCAGGGGTTCTAAAATCGTAAGGGATGCAGTAGAGGAAATCATCCATACAGCTACAGAATAGTCGGCCTCTGGAGCCATGATAAAATCTCAAAAACTCTTTCAGCCTCGGCCACATAGCTTCAATATTGTTTATGTGCACTCCGGTTGTTGAGTGCACAAAATGCTACTTGTGGATAACGACACGATGCACATAAACAAGCCTATGTATGAGTCTGTACGCTCTCCAAACATCCGTATATATTGTAGTACCTGGCTGCAGCCACTGTTACTGGTGCTTTTATTATCCAGTTCGCAATAATTGTCGTAATTTGCCTTAGTTAGGAATTATATATGGGGTTTTCATCACGAACTGACATCAGCTATAATGCCAGAAATTCATTTAGGCAAATGGATGAAAGGCTTTCGCGTTAAAATCCGAGATCTATTATCTTATGCCTAATTGATTCGTCCACAAATTATAGTCCCGCCGTTTTATTTGTTATAGCCGCTCAATTATCACGTTATGTACAAAATTCCCTGTGAACCGATCGTACGTTAGCATTAAGCACTGAAGTTGGTGCCACAACTTTGAAATCTCCAAAACGCCTCTGATTGGCTCGTCCATAAATTAGAGTCTCGCCAGTTTATGATTAAATTACAATGAAAAGTTCATTTGAATTAACAGTTTACAAATTACTGATCCAGATTTCCATTTTTAGAATAAGTTATAATTTGTTTCAAGTAATATCTACGTATAGTTTTTGGTAATCTTAAATCATCATGTATAATTTTTTATTATTTATTTATTTTATTTTAAATGATTAAATTTTTTTGTAACAAATTGTTGATATTTTTTTATAAAAGTAATTTATTGCTTACTTTTTTTGAAAAAAAAATTCAACAACGACAATTAGTTCTGATAGTCTGTTGAACGGAAAATGTGACAGTTCTTTGTCGAAATCAACTACACAAGTATCAGTAGCAGCAGTGGCTAAATCATTGGTTCTACCTGGATCTAAACAACAATTACCTAACTATCAAGAATCTAACTTACCTACTAATAATACAACATTAATACGTAAATTATCAGCTCCTATAGGACCACCTCATATTCTATCAAATCATACTGCTACAATACATCTACGTAGAGGATATAGTTTAAATAAACCTAAAATGGATAATAATGTTAATGATGATAATAAACGTGTCAATCAAAAAGTAAATGAAGGTGGCAATGTTGAAGGTTGTGTCGTCATTAAAGAGACTGTTAGCGACGAAGATTTAAATCATTCAAATTTTCGACATTCTATAAATACACTCACTGATCATGTACCATCATCAAGGTAGATATAAATATCGATAGATAGATAATGAATGAGATTGCATTGTGTTGATTATTTTGCATGTAGCATATAAATATATGTTTTGTTTATGGATGTTTTTAAGAATCCTAATTCTCTGTACGGCTATAATCGTTTGAAGTTACAATTACAGTTGGTTTTTTCTTGTATTCTCAAATATGCATCATCTTTTAGTTTCCCAAGCTATTAAGTTTGCGTTTGTAAGATGGATGAGCTACCACTAATTGTGAACATTTTGACGAATAAATAATTTGGATATTATGGTAAAGAGTAGAGCAGCAATTTCAGTCATTGTTTTGATCTTCCAAGGTTTGTGAGAAAAGATCCAAATACTCCTACTGTTATCATTGGTTGTGCATACCTTAGTTGATTGAAACTGTCAAGCGTATTTTAACTACGCATTACTTTCATTCATTTGTGTGTATATGCGCATGTTTAGTAATTCCGTATGAAGTGTTTAACTGTTCATCTTTTCAATTTAATCAATAGGATTATTCTATTGTTGATATTTTGACTGGAAAGTTTATCAGTCTTGGTTGGTATATGTGTACCTTGTGCTGTGCGGACTGCTTCGATATAGCTACTACGACACAAGTTAGAATAGAATAGATGGAATGTTGCCATCAGTAGAATCTAGGATGCGCGTTTCATACTTTCAAAGTCGATGTTCACTGAGATTCAGGTTCATCTGACTGACGAGTCCCATATAGGACGAAATGCGCATATTAGATTTTACTACTAGCCGCATTCCATTTATTCTATATGGACTTGTTCGCTATATTGTTTTATTTATTCTTCATGTGTACAAATTGAAGATATAACAGTTGCATAATCAAATAAGCTAAGCTTTCTCATTTGAAATCAGCATGCAATGTACAAATATAAGTATTTTTATTATGAAGTAAAAACACCACCACACATAATGGTGTTTTTCTTTCTTTTGCTTAGTTCTTTATCAGTTATATCAGTAGATAGTCCTGAAGACGAAGGCTCTTCAGCAGCTTCTGATTCATTAGTTTGTAATCAAACGATCGAAGGTCAAACGTCAGGTCAACAGCAACAACAACAAACAATACCACTTACATCAGCACAAAATATCCCATTAATGAATAAACAATTTTATCAGCAACAAATGCAGTACAGACAACAATCGATTTCAGATCAACCTATGACAACGTTAACTCAACAACCACTTTACCAGCGAGATTATGAACAACAACAACAGATCCAACAATTACAATTTACTCATTCAACAAGACCTCATCTACAAATGAATTCTATGCCAGTATATCATCAACAGCCTATGGGATTGTATCAAAATTATCTACGGTCAATTGGACCTAGAAATCAATTATACAACATTATTGATAGTCAACAACAACAGCAACAACAAATCAATTCAATGTCTCGATTAGATTCAACACAATCATTTTTTTCGCCTACACCATCACCTACACCAAGTAAGAAGAAATCGCGTATGTTATCTGGTACATTTGGTCGATTATTTCGACGTAATCAATCAAGTAATATAACTGGGAATAGCGGTGTTGGTATTGTCAGTGGACCATATGATATGGCACAATATTCACAAAATTATTATCCTATACCAAATCATATTAATCAATCAATACGAATATCAGCTTCACCACCGATACGTCTTGGTTCACCAATGATACATACATCAATTGCTAACAATACTCATAACAATAATAGTACTACTAGCAATAATAATAGTAGTAACAATAATATTCGATATTCTATGCAACAGCAACCTATGAGTCCACAGCCGATAGCTGTCGGTCCAGGTGGACATCAATCACTATCATTACCACTGCCACCACCTCCGCCTTCAGTACAGTATCATCCGTCAATGTCCAATCAAGCACAAATGATACAACAACAGCACCAACTCCTTATAGAACAGCAACAACAGATGTATCAATTTAGGCAACGACAACAAGGTTTGGAATATGGTATGAATATTTTCGGTTTGTATTCTTCTTCTTACTATTTATACTAATGATGGTAGGATGTTATTGTACTATGAAAAATATAAATATTGTGTTGAGATAATGAACTGATATCGGATCTAGCCGGTTAGTAGTAAATAAATAAACACATGCAGGTAGGTAAGTAGGTATATCATCTGCATTTGTGCAAATATTTCATGTATTGCACATGACTTACCTTTGTTTCCAACTAGTTCCATATAATGATTCACATTCTGGAAACAAAATAATGATATTAAACAGTGAGTATCATTATTAAGTCAGCATGGTGTTCATAATTTTATTTGGGATTTAAAACACGTGATAATGATCATAGAACATGGTAATGTAAGTTTCACTATCCTTTCTAAGTAATTAGTCACCCTTCCATGGTAGGGGCAACAGGGAAGTGATAAACACCCTCATACCTCTAACAGCACTACAGACCCAGTAATTAATGCAAACAAATCGTATACCTATGAACGCATATTTCCACATTAGATGGATAAAAGTTAACTATCTAAAAAATTGCTAACACAAAGTCGTTTGAAGTTCAGGTTTGTTACGTAGTTGGATCTTGTTTTCTTAATGACAGTCTCAGTAATGTCAACTATTATATGCCTTGTTCTCGAATTATCATTTTTAGCCTGTAAATTAAATTTGGAACAAACATCTAAGGAATACTAATTTCATTGTATTACTGAGTTTATTCGCATTAGTTCTTTTATGTATACTAGTAATAAGTTTCTAAGTGTCCAGTGTTTAATTATCAACATAATTTTCTAGACATTAGATAAATATCAATAAAACTAACCTATTCGTGGATAATTTGATGCTTCGTTAGTTTAAATATGTGTGCAATCGTACTCATGCCATTTTAGGTACCCTACAATCTTGTGTAAAAGTTGTAAATATACCAACTTTTTTATTGTAATTCCTACTTCAATCCAACCTTGTTATTCGGAATATAATTACGTTCCTGTCCAACCGTGTTCTGGTTTGCGAACTTGTCGAGTGAAGTAGTGTTCAAGATTACTAAACAATAAGACTAGCTGGGAAGTAATAAGGGAAATCATAACACCTCCATTTATAATAGTTTCCTGCGAACATATACTGTTACTTGGTGAATACAAATAAATTTTGGATTCAGTCTGCATTTATCACATATAAGTTAACGTAATAATCAACGTGGAGCAATATTGATGTGTATCATCACGAGTATTTGATAGCTTACACTTCTTAAAATAATTCCATACGGAAATAAACTTCTTAGTCCTTACTAGTTTGTAGTGACTCTCTAATTCTTTTCGATTGATATGGATTTTCCAAACAAATGACGTCTGTAAAACAGCAAGTTGGTTTTACTGTCTGGAAAGATATTTCAAAGATAGAAGAGGCGCTTGAAAAAGTTGACAAATGCTCATTTTGGACATCAAATGACGTTTGTACGTATTTTAGAATTGATGTAATTTATGAAACCGCATGTTGAATTCTAAATCTCTAACGTGAAAATACTCTGAATACAGAAACATGATAATAACAAGTTCTGTTTTAACAAAATTCATAGATGGATGTTTCTACAATATTGCAAACTCTTCTTACAGAATTCGTCAAATGCTTCTTACTATACAATGTTACTTATTTTTTGGGATTGAACATCGTGTAGATTATTCAATATCTCATATGGGTTGTACAAATTCATATAAATGAATATATTTAGATATTATTCTTTACATTAAGAAATTTCAATAAGTTAGGAAATAATCCATGTCATTGTTACATACTATCTGAATAACTTCTAAATAAACTAGGACGAATTAAATGCAGTCAAAAGTTGTTAATTTAATTATTCGGAAGTTAATAGAGGTTAAAATAATAAGAAATCCTTCACGTTCGAGTATTCAGGAAATAATTGCGATAAGCTATCGTCCATTTTCGAATAAAATCCTTTATTGAATTCATTAACTTACCATGAAGCTAGGTGACTCATGTTCGAACCCTACAGGTAATTGTGGGTATACCTTGTTGATGATAGCAAACTGAAATGGAACCTAAATGCAGTGTTTTCTCCTGATTACCTGCGACCACCTAACACTTACTTCTTATCTTGTATTAAGTAATTGAAAACAACACGCGTAAATATTAAAGACCTGAGCTTTATGAAAAGTCTGCTCATTGAACGCTCTATCCGATTTTCTAGCCGCTTTTAATAACCTCAGACTAAATCCTACAAGACAACTTGAACACAAGAGAAAAGATGCGAGATGCATAAGTCATAAACTGGTGATTCAGATTTATCAAACTCTCAAAATATATCAAAATGATTTATGAATACATCACTTTATTTACAGTTAGATTAATAGTCAGATTTGGTATATATTCAGTTCAGTTATATTTAACAATAATGTTTCAACAATTTACAATGTACACACATATTTACCATACTCATATAATTATGCATCTATAACTAACAGATATAACTAATTAATTAAGTTATAAAAGTACTCCTTAAGACGTGAATACATGTTACACACGATTGAAAAAGATCAATTTCATATGTCATTTGCACTCCTATCGATTATGCCATTGGTCATCATATCACTTTTTGACACACCCCTACAAAATGTATGTGAAATCATCTTTAACTGAGGTGACAATCATGAATACTGTTTCTAATATAAAAGGATAGATAAATCATTTTCTTAAGCTTGTATCGATTCCAGTGCATTGTTTATCGATTGTTATCTTGTGGTTTAAGTCTTCTAGAATAAATTTAACATATCAACCATCTTAATATTTAACAAATACCTATTATTATGTATTATTCTCGTATTTCTCATTTTGCTTAAACACTAGATGATGGATGTAATGGACCAAATCTTATTACTGGAGGATCTATATCACCACTTTCGTCATCCACTGTATCAGGAAGTCTTTCTGAATCAACTATTCCATCAAATAGTAGAATAATGAGTCCAAATCCTATGTCTTTGACTATGGGTAGTAGTGGTGGTCAACTGGCTAATACAACACTACCACCACAAGTCCCTGAAGAACGTCGACGGTGGAAAAAGGAGGAGTTATTAGAACAAGCTATGATGGCTAGATTACCATTTGCACAATGGAATGGCCCTACAGTAGTAGCATGGCTTGAGGTATAGTCAATGTCTGTTAGATATTCTCTTTCTTTTTCTTTAATAACGAAATCATATTTTATAAGTTTTTCAGTTAGCTGGCTAAAATTTCTGCAATTGTTCACAGTAACCTTTGAGTTAAAGTTAATATATTCTCATGTGTTTTTTTTTAAAAAAAGGGAAATAACTCAACAATTCATATAGACTAGTTTACTATTCGATTTAGTAAATATTTTCTTAGGATTAAATTGAACTTTACTAATGAGTTACAGAATCATTATGTACTAATTCCGCCTATAACATTAACACATCATCCATATTAGTTCAAACATATTTTCAATTGAATCATTATCATTGCTTCTTTATAAGCACTTTTTTAGTTGAATTAACTGTACTACATCAACTCAACTGTTTCATATTATTTAACATAATAGAAATTTGATGAGTTTGAGTTACTTACAACAACACTGAAGTACACAGATGAGAATATATGTTGAAACATAATTAATACTTATAAGCAGAGATGAATGGTGGCTAACAGTGGAATTAAGGACGAAATTTTTGTCCTATCTGGGACTCGTCAGCAAGATTTATCTGTATCCCAGAGTTGATGTTCATTCGGAGATTCTAACTCAGTACTATTGGCTTCAAATGCCATCACTTTATCCACTTAGCTACTGATTCCAAGTATCCATTACCTTGTGTAATGGGGTAAAGTCTAAGCCCTTTCTGTATTAGTTGTCTGAATGCCAATAAGAGACTGATCAATTTAAATCATAAACTTCATTAGGGAGTATCAAAAAACCAATACAAAAATGAATAATTAATACTATTTCATAAATCATGCTATGATGAACTGGATAGGTTTTATGTAGGTATCATTCCTGATGGGTACATAATTTATATTATTATTTTGCATTATTTACTTCACTTGAGTAGTACATCTAATTTGAAAAGCATTTTCTTGTCAGTAGTATAAAAATTATATTATTTATAAACCAAACTATTTGTTTAGACTTTAAATGTTCCATATACAAGTATTACATTATTTATTGACTATATTTTGTATGTGTTTGTGTGGAAATAATACAGTTCAACTCAACAGCGATAGCAGCATTATTTCGGAAAACTCTGTGTATCGTCAACAGGACAGATTCCTGTTTTCTCTCTCAATTTCATCTAGGGATCTTTAAAAATTATGATGAAATTGAAAAGTAGAATTATATTCATGATATTGTTGATGAATATAGATGTTGATAAGCATCACTGCTAGAGTTTCACTTTCATTCCTTAAAAATGCAAGTCATTTTTCGCCAATTACATGAACTTGTCATTTGGATTACATCAGGTTGACACAACATATCAATCTACATCCATTTTTGTTTGAGTTCGAATGAGGACATCAATACTGCGATGCAGTTCCAAACAGAAGGAAACCCGCTTCTTGGATCTCACTGATATGCACACTTCATCCATTCCTTAGAGAATATGTTTTAAATAAAGAAACTAAATTGTGTGAAATGACTGTAACAGAATAATCTTTTATTCTTCATGAAAGCTTAAATAAAGAATATGGCTTATCTACATCATCTCAATCGAACATCTGCAACAGTAGATTTCGATCATTCCAAAGTCAGTCAGTCAATCAGTAACAACGTAGAACTTCGTACGTACGTACATCAGTTCGAGTTGCCACACCACATTAGCACAGAGATGCAGTGGTCGATTCAAATCCCGTAGTGGTAGAGGTAATAAGAGTATGAGCAGTAATCGGGAAGATTAGTGTTTGGAAATGTTATTTAAAGAGTATAATCCAGTGAAATAAATCTGGAAAGAGGAAAAACGAGACAAGGAGGAATAAGGAGACCAAAATTTGGGAGAACACAAAGAGTGTATGCACCTGCGCCATTGCAAACGATTTTGAGCCATGTCATTCAACGTCTCTAACCATCGGTTGCTATCATCTCGCGGTCCCCAACCAGGTAGTCTACACCTACCAACATGACTCAGTTCACTTGTCAGTGACTTCATGGACTTGTGCCATATTTTAGTCTGGCCACCCCTAGCTTTCTTCCAACCTACTCCAGTCATATACCACTGAACATCGCACGTCGAGGCAGTCGGTCGTTGGGCATACGTAACACGTATCCCAGCCATCTCAACTGATGAAGTTTCACTACGTCATCAATTGATTTGCCATCCTTACCTAGTACCCGTTTCCTAACAGCTGCACGACTTACTCGATGGTCGCAGGGTATATGAGCAATGCTTCGAAGACAGCTATGATCGAATACTAGTAACCTATGAATATCCTCTACTCTTACCGGCCATGTTTCACTGCCATAAAGTAGGACGGAACGAACTGCTGCGCAGTAAACACGTCCTTTGGTTGATAGACGGATATCTCGCCTACGCCATAAATGACGCAAGTTGGCAAAAGCTAGTCGAGCCTTCTGTATCCGTGCTGAGATTTCGTCACACACCAGACCACAAGGGCTGATGAGACTTCCAAGATAAGTGAAGCGATCGACACGCTCAATTACTTCACTCCCTATCATTAGTTCGGGTGTCAATGCAACCCAGTCCTGAAGCAACATTTTGCATTTCGAGGGGGAAAATCGCATCTCGAATATGCTTGCATTGTTTCTTAGAGTGGTCAGAAGACTGCATTTTGTCAGCGTCTTCGCCAAATAAAACTATGTCATCAGCATATTCTAAGTCAACAAGTGAACCTCCCGGTAGAAGTTCAACCCCTGGAAATTTAGATGAGGAAAGTGTTATCTCTAAAAGTGCGTCGACGACAAAGTTGAACAAGAATGGGGAGAGTGGACAGCCCTGACGAACACCACTTGAGGTAATCAATTCTGATGACAGTTCGCCATAAGCTCTCACTCGACCAGTTGTGTTCGAGTAGAGAGCCTGTATAAGGTTAATGTAGTTCTTTGGTACTCCTTTCAGTGACAAACACTGCCATAGAACCTCACGATCAATAGAGTCGAATGCCGCCTTAAGGTCGAGAAATACTACCGTTGTGGGGCGTCTGAACGTGTGTCTGTGTTCTAGAACCTGACGTAGTGTGAATATCTGATCTATACAACCACGTCCAGGTCGAAAACCAGCCTGATTTTCTCTAGTCTGTTCTTCACGAGCTTTAGTTAGGCGTCGAAGTATTATTGAAGCTAATATTTTAGACACTATATTAGTCAAACTGATTCCTCTGTGATTGTCACAAGAGGACTTTTGTCCTTTCTTATAGACTGGCACAATCAGTGATTGAGACCAGTCAGGTGGGATTACGTCCAGTTCCCAAATTCTACCTAAGACCTCAGTTAATCTCACTGCTAATACTGGATCACCATCCTTAAAAACCTCAGGAGTAAACCTGTCAGGGCCTGGTGCTCTCCCTCGCTTCAGATTTCCTATGGCTTTTTCAACTTCGTAAAGAGACGGAGGACTTACATTAACTTGCCATTCAGGTTGACTGGAGATCGTGGGAAACCGAAGTGTGGCTGAAGACCAGTTGAACTGATCCCTAAAGTGTTCTGCCCATCGATCCAATCTCCTGGATTGAGAATGTATAATATGTCCATCTTTCTCTGAGAATGTTTCGCTAACAGTCGTATTCCTAATACCGGTTTCCTTAACGAGTCTGAACAATTGTCTGCTATTACCTATTGCCGCTGCCTTTTCCATCTCTCTTGCTTTCGCTACCCACCACGGTTCACGATCATTGCGTAGACTTCTTGTCAGCTTGCGCTTAAGCTGACTCCGCTCTTCATTATGTTCAGAGTCAGGTGGAATGAGTTTCCGAGCATCTATCAGTTTGATAGATGCTGCTGAGATCCAGTGTTGCTCCCTAACCTTACGGGTTACCGTACTAGCAGATATCACTGCCGTTTCCACAGCTTTTTGAATATCATTCCATGCTGCCTCGGGGTGGGCATCACCTCTATGGCTGCCTAACTGTTTTCCTAGTTGTTCCTGAAATATACTCCTAGCTTGACCATCATTAAGTAGACCTGCTTCGGTTTGGGCACCCGGGCAGTATCACAACCCTCACGCATATCGAATGAGATTTGTGTGGCGCATATGTATTTGGTGCCTCCTTGTACCAATATCTATGTGTTAAAATAAATAAATAAAATAAATAATCATTAAGTAGAGCCCTAAGAGGTTTACTTGCAGCGTCTTTCCTACGTCCAGTAAGACGCAGACAGATACGCGCTCATACTAGAGCATGATCTGAATCTAAGCATGTGCTCCAGAATGAGCGACAGTCTTCTATCGAGCCCCTCCATTGGTGGCTGATAACGACGTGATCTATTTGGGTCCAACGTTGGGTCGAATTGGGGGGTCGTCATGTTAAAAGATGTTTTTCCTTATGCTTAAAGTTAGTATTTGCAAGAAAGAGGCGGTTATCTGAGCATAGCTGCAACAGACGGTCGCCATTATCTGTTCTTTGAGCCGCGACACCATAAGATCCACCCATGTGTCTTTCCTTTCTACTTAGTTTACTTACTTGAGCATTAGTCATCAGCCACTATTAGTACATCCGAGCGCCTAACGTTTTAGAGGTCGGGAAGCTTTATGTAAAACTCATCTTTCACACCATCTGAGCTGCAGTCAGTGGGAGAGTGGGCAGAGACGACGAAGAGGCAACGACGAGTGTCCCTATCTTTCCGAGTCCGTACTGTTCCGTTTAGTCGGATAGCGCACAAACGACTGTCTACTGGGATCCAGTCTGAGAGAGCTGGTTCTGCCCTAGGACTCAATGCTATATCTACGCCAGCGAGGCCACGGGAAGCAGAATCAGGACTTGCAGATACACGAAGCGTGAATCGAGATGGTTCTTTACTTTGATATGGTGAGGTCAAATGAATGACGCTACTCGGATCCTGTGTGCGCGTTTCGGAGACACAGCATACATCTATGGCGCGAGATTCTGAAGTCCTAGCTAAAGTGACCTGTTGTCTTATTTGGTACAGTGTTCGGACGTTAAAAGTTCCTACGTGTAGTTTAGAGCGTGG